TACGTTTAATTTAATCAATATCACAAATCACAAATGCACCTCACAGGATTTTAACAATAAAAGAACCCTAGATGCTCACATAGTGTCACCTTTTGAACATCTTTTTATTCAACACAATCCCTATATGCCTAATGTTCAGATTTCTATGCTAAATGAGACCAGATAGGAAGCACTGGCCTTTTTATGGCTCTTTCACTCACTTAGCATCCTTTGTTTAAGAAAAGGACTGAACTTATTATTATGGTATTATTCATAGTTCATAGTTTAATTAGTTCTTCGACCTTACCTTAACAACACTGCAATAATATTGACTAAACACAGCCCAGGTAGAAGAGGCACAGAGATGCATGAAAGTGATGATATAATGAGTGTGATGTCACATTATGTTGTTCCTCATGCTTCCTCCACTTCTTCCCGCAGAGTCTTAAATGTGTGTCGTCACTGGGTGGAGCATCACTTTTACGACTTTGAGAGAGACGCTTACTTGCTGAGACGACTGGAGGAGTTCATCGCCTCAGTCAGAGGTACGTACCTGTGAACACCAGCCAGCCATCAGTTAGAAGTACCTACCTGTGAGAGCACCTCTTAGTCATTAGTCCTAAGTACCTACTTGTGAGAATTGAAAAACCGCGTAGAGCTTACTGATAGAAATAAATCATGTGTTGCAGGTAAGGCAATGAGGAAATGGGTGGAGTCAATAACTAAGATCATCCAGAGGAAGAAGCAGGTTCAGGTGAGCATGCAGAGTCACAGCATTACCTTCCAGAGCTCTCCTCCTCCCATCGAGTGGCACACCTGTAAACCAGGGAACACCGAGCAGTTCGACCTCATGACTCTTCATCCCATCGAGATTGGCCGGCAGCTCACCTTGCTGGAATCAGACTTCTACAGGTAAGGGAGCCTGTAATCGTAGTCCATCTAACCGGAAACCATTAGAATTAAAAAACAATATTAATAGTCATATGGGTGGCGGGGTGAAGGGAGTAGTGGAGTATTATAAAAATGAACTTTGATACTTTCTCGGGGGTGCCCTGCCCCCCCAATATAATGGTAAGGGTTGGGGAAACACATGTTTTACAATTCAGGTTTGTATAGAAATCCTTTAAAGTAGGTCTCACCTGTGGTACCTTTGACTTTCTGCAGGGCTGTGCAGCCGTCAGAGTTAGTCGGCAGCGTGTGGACCAAAGAAGACAAAGAGATTCACTCCCCTAACCTGCTGAGGATGATACGACACACAACCAACCTCACGCTCTGGTTTGAAAAGTAAGAGTAGCCCAAAACACCCTAATCAGGGGACCTCAGCCCCCGATACAGAGGGAGCACCAACAATACTCACCTGTAAACACACAAGCTCCACTCTGTTACCTTGCCCATCTCACATGCAGATGTATGGTAGAAACCGAGAACCTGGAGGAACGAGTCGCCGTCGTTTCTCGGATCATCGAGATCTTGCAAGTCTTTCAGGAACTCAACAATTTTAACGGGGTTCTTGAGGTGGTCAGTGCGATGAACTCGTCCCCGGTCTACAGGCTGGACCACACGTTTGAGGTAAGGACACACCCTAACGCTCACTTTGGGGTAAGAAAAGACCCTAACTCCTTGATGCTCAGGTTCAGACTGAATCTTCTGAAAGGTTTAGATTAGATTAGATTAGATTCAACTTTATTGTCATTGCACAGGGTACAAGTACTGAGGCAACAAAATGCAGTTTAACATCCAACCAGAAGTGCAAAATAGCAAAAAGTGCAGAGTATGTGCATATGTAAAGTATAATAAGTGAATAAATAGATATGTACAATAAGAAATAGTTATGCAATTTGAACAGTAAGAAATGGATATGCAATAACAGTGCAAATGTTCAGTGGCTGGTTTACAAATGTTGTGATCCTTATATAAACTTTGTTTTTGGTTTCCAGCAAATTCCCAGTCGACAGAGAAAAATCCTGGAGGAAGCTCATGAGCTGAGTGAAGATCATTACAAGAAGTATTTAGCCAAACTGCGCTCCATCAACCCCCCCTGTGTCCCCTTCTTTGGTATGCTCCGACACACTTGCATCTGTCTTTTTATAAAGCCTTTAAACTAGGGGTGTCAACATATAACCGTTTTTCTATGCAATTAATGTGGCCGAGATTAATGCGACAAAATATTATAACATTGTTTACTTGAGGTCTAAACGGAAGTAAAGTTGACCACTGAGTTGACTGCGGAAACGAAACGGCGGCTAGCTGCTGTCAGTTAGACGCAAAGCTTTTTGCATTGGAAGTAAAACAGAGTTGGGACAAAAAACAAAGGTGGCATTTCGAGATGCTTTAATTTCTAAATTGGTACTTCCGAATGTCCTGGTTATCACGAGTGACACCTTGGGGATGTGTACTCTCGGCCCGAAGTGAAAATACTGTGTAACTATTGATTTTTTCCTTTTAATTCCAACCTGAAATTGACCACATGTGGCTTCGTGATGGAGAATTTGAAGGAAATTGGATGTTAAAGACAAAGTTTGCAAAGCAGCATTCGTGCCGTCAATTCTTATGGTTAACGACAACTGACTCCTGGATACTTTGGCCGACGGCCGCAAAAGTTCTTGGCTGCGTTTCTAGCCGTCTGGCCAGTGCCCCGACGTGCGGAGTAGTGAGGACTCGTCCAACGCTGCTCGCAGCTTTAATTTGTTTTAGTTTTTTTATTGACAGCCCTACTATAAAGATGACAAGTTAAATGATGAGTCATTTTCTCCGTTTGTCAGGAATCTACCTGACCAACATCCTGAAGACTGAAGAGGGTAACCCCGACTTCCTGCGCAGACATGGCAAAGATCTGATCAACTTCAGCAAGAGGAGAAAGGTGGCTGAAATCACAGGAGAAATCCAACAGTACCAGAACCAACCGTACTGTTTGAGAGTGGAGAGCGACATCAGGGTCAGTGTGACAAAGATGTCACTCCTTTTTCACAATGATTTTGTGTGGTGTCAGAGGTGTGACTGTGTTCTCTCTTCATGGAGCAGAGGTTTTTTGAGAACCTAAACCCAATGGAGGACCTGTCCGAAAAAGACTTCGCTGATCATCTATTCAACAAATCCCTGGAGATAGAACCCCGAAATGCCCGATCATTGCCTCGATTTGTAAGTATTGCCATGGCAACACAGGTTATCCTCTCCCAGTAGAGAGAATTTGGGTTATGGATGTCATGTGTACATCTATAACCCAATGACATGAAATATGTAGAATACGTTCAATGCATATAACATAGAGGATTTTAATATTGAGATGAGTTAGCAGCTTAATGATGGATAAATTACTAATAATAATAACAGCAGTGAGTGTGATGATAAATACGTCTAAATATTCCCTCCCTGCGCTGCAGATGAAGAAGTACACCTGTCCTCTGAAGTCTCCAGGAATCCGTCCAACCTCAGCAAGGCCCGGGACCATGCGGCACCCGACACCGCTGCAAAACGAGCCTAGGAAGATCAGTTACAGCCGCATCCCTGACAGCGAGGCGGAAGGGGGTGTTGTCTCAGCTCCCAATTCCCCCCGCACTCCTCTGACTCCGCCCCCTGCCTCAACAACCTCCAGCTCCACAGACGTTGGCAGTGTGTTTGACTCGCCACAAGGTCCCAGGAGCCCTGTTCACTCCAGTAAGTCCACCACACCTTCACAACAATGCTATAGTAACAGTGTGCGCGCTGTGTAATGGTGTGGATGTGTGACATGTGTAACGGCGTGTTTGTGTGGCGTGTGTGTGAGACCTGTGTGAGTGTAACGGTGTATGTGAGTGATGTGTGTAACGGTTTGTGTGATCTATGTAACACTGTGTGTGTAATAGTAGAGAAGCTAATACACCACATATAAATGTATATACACATAAATATAAGTGATTTATTTGTGCAGAGAAGCTAACACAAGAGTGATATGATCCCTTTTCTTAGTTCTTGTTAATACACGTGCTGCAGCATTCTGAATCAACTGGAGAGGCTTAAGAGATTTACAAGAGCAGCCTGATAACAACGAATTACAGTAATCCAGTCTAGAAGTAACAAACACATTTTTCTGCATCACTTTGAGACAGGAAGTTCCTGATTTTGGATTTATTACGTAGATGAAAAAAGACGGTCCTTGAAGTCTTTATATGAGAGTTAAAGGACATATCCTGGTCCAAGAGAACTCAAAATTCTTTACAGTCCTACTGGATACCACAACAATTCCATCCAGAGAAACATTGTCCAATGCAAGTAGAAGATCATTCGTAATTTTCACCAGTGCTGTTTCTGTACTATGATGCCCTCAAAATCCTGACTGGAAATCCTGGAACAAAGCATTGTTTTGTAGAAAGTCACATAATTGATTTGCGACGGATTTCTCAAGGATCTTAGAGAGGAAGATTAGAGAGAGGTCTGTAGTTAGCCAACACCTCTGGAGCAAGAGTAGGTTTCTTAAGAAGAGGTTTAATTACAGCTACCTTGAGGGACTGTGGTACATGTCCTGTCAACAAAGACAGATTCATAATATCTAATAAGGATGTGCTAACTAAAGGAAAAACTTCCTTAAGCAGTTTAGTCGGAATCGGATCCAAGAGACAAGTAGAAGATTTAGACTTTGAAAATCAGTCAGTCAGTTGATCAAGGTTGATGGAAGAGAAGGCATCCAAACAGGCATCAGGGCCCACTGCTGCATCCAAGGTTCCTACATCGGAGGACGGGTCGGCACTGGTTGAAGGCAGGAGACCATCAATGTTCTCTTTGATAGTCAGAATCTTATCATTGAAGAAGTTCATGAAGTCGTTACTAGTGAGGTCCAAAGGAATACACGGCTCGACAGAGCTGTGACTCTCTGTCAGTCGGGCTACAGTGCTGAAGAGAAACCTGGAGTTGTTTTTATTTGTCTCTATTAATGATGAGTAATAAGATGCTCTTGCGTTACGGAGAGCCTTATATGTGACGTGTGTAATACATGTACAGGTCTGATTACATCACATGGTTTCTCTCATCTAAGGGTCCTCCTCTGTCTCCTCCATGGTGAGTTTCAGTCGTGGTTCTGAGGAGGTCCCTGTTCCTCCTCCCGTTCCTCCTCGCAGACGTCCAGACTCGGCCCCAACTGACTCGTCCCCCTTAAAGGTATCTGATATGTACAAGTAGGAGTCAGATCTCAGACTGGATTTCAAAGTGGAAGTTCGTTACACAGTTTCTCCCTCTTATCTTTGTTCCTCCCCCCCTTTCTGTTCAGATGATGTTGACATTGGACAGTCCCCCTGCTGTCCCCCCTCGTCAGCCCACCTGTAAGCTGCTCCCACCTCGTTACTCATCGTCTCTCTCATCATCGTCTCCCCCTGACAGCCCCCCCTCCTTGCCCCCTCGGGAGCCTCTCAGCTCTCCTCTACACCTTCTCCCCCCTCCTCAGGGCCGCCCTCGTTGTGACCTGCAGGCCTTCTTCCCTTCCACCGCTTCCTCCTCACCCTCCATCAGCTCCGTCCCCATTGCCTCCTCCTCCCCACCCCCCCTCCCTCCTCTCACTCGTGTCACCCCCGTTCCCACCCCTGGCTCCAGGAAGATGCCCCTTCCATCCCCGACCCTCCCGCACCTCGCCCTTGGCGGCCCCCCCGTCCCTCCCCGGCACACTGTCCCCAAACTTCCTCCCAAAACCTACAAGAGGGAACCTCAGACCCCCGCCCCCCTGTTAGACACCCCCCCAGAACTGTGATTGGACAACTTGGACCTCCTGAGGCAGCAAAACAGCTGTTTCAACAGCTTGCTGAGGAGGTGGGGCTTGATAAGCTGACTGTGCAGCTGATTGAATGAGAACAAATAAAACAATGGATTTTAAGACAAAAGAAACATCTGATTGATCAATCTATAAAGATCATGCGCCCTTATTCTGAAAAACAAACTAATCATGTGCCCTTATTCTGAAAAACTGATTGTATCATCCAGCTGTAGAACTTTTGTCTGATTATCAGACCTGATGAAGAAAGAGGATTGTGGGTAACATAGTTCTCCACGGACTGATGTGGACGCTGGGTCTGAGGTGTTGGTGCTTCAGCAGCCTTCAGGTACTGGACCAGAACCAAAGAGGAACTGTGTTGGTTCTGGTGGATCTAATGTTGTTTATATCTAATTGCTGATGTCTATTCTTTAATACAAGGGAATAAACGTGTTTGTGAACTAAGCTGGAAGGACTACACTAACCGCTTCGCTGTCTTTCTTGTTTACCCCAAAGTACAGAACGAACACCATATTGTATTGATACACGATACAAGTCAAGTGTCCATTTTTTGTCATATAAATTATAAACTTTTGGTCCTAAAATATTCAAATAATTTTGGTCGTCGTGGCGCAGGGGTACAGAGGGTGTGCTGGAAACCGCAAGGTTGGTGGTTCGAGTCCCGGCTGCCCCATGTCCCATGTGAAAGTGTTGCTGAGCAAGACACCTAACCCCTAATTGCTCCCCAGGCAAAAATGTAAAAAGCCATGGGTTAAAAACCAAAAATGCAATGTAAGTCGCTTTGGGTAAAAGCGTCAGCTAAATGACCTGTAATGTAATGTAATGTTCTCCAGTCCAGATGGTGCTGTGTTTTCTGGTGAGGTCAGCAGAGGTCCCGGGTCAGCGTGATTGGTAGGAAGTTGGTCAAAACAAAAATTGAGGTATCAGAGAAAGAAAAAATTATAAATGTGCCGTCCATGTTTAAATAAAACATCTTGACTTATTTAGCTGGAGGGGGGGGGGGGGGGTGTAACAAGGAAGGAAAGGGAGACGAGAAGAGAACCGGAGATGAGCAGACTATGTAAGCAAACCTTTTTTTATTAGATAGAATATGTCAAAGTTTTCCTTTGGGGACAATTTTAAGAGTTTAACATTCATTTTCATACTAATTCAAACTTGTATTATTTCCATGGAAGCTCAGTTTTCAGTTTTCCAGTTTTCATTCCTCCAAATGTTCAAAGTTTCAACATCTGACAGCTGACCTGTGGAGACTCCCCCAGTTATAAGCCCTGCCCCTGGTGATGACATCATCAATCTGTCTTTCAGCCGCTGCTCAGCGTGATATTAGGGGTTTAAACCTTCAGAGAACCTTCACCTCCACACACAAAGGAGAAGAAGAAGAAGAAAATGGCCGACTCCACCAGCAGCAGTCACTCCGACTCTTCATCTTCATCCAACAACTCCTCTTCTTCCTCCTTCAGAGACTTCACACATTCAGGTAAGGCTCAATAATTCAACATCATCCAGTGATGACCTCTCACTGATATGATTGATCACTATGACAGATTGAACAGCTGATTGGCTGTCAGCTCCTTATAGTAATAATGTATAGTAAATACTATTGAATTACTTTACCAATGATAGTGATACAAAAAAAAAAAATAAGGAACTAGTGTTTACACTGTAGTCAGTCCTTTCTATATCCTCTTAGAAATTGAACATGTTCCGTATCATTATGTCCTCTGCACAGAAGGACATGTTGGCTCTTTTATACACATGTTTTGGTAATGTAAAGATGTTGTGATTTTTTAGATACTTGTATGTTCCTTTCTGGAAAAAACCTTTAGCTATGCAATCCCATGTAGCCCGACTGTACTGCTCTTACATGACCCATCCTTGCTAAAACTATCACGGCAACAAAAGTGCACACAGCTGCAAACAAAATGCTGCCATCACGTTGGAATCCCCACATATTCTCATAAAGTCCCTGTGGTCAGCTACTTATGTAGTTATCATGAACATGGAAGCCACGGTCCACAATGACAAAGGGGACACGATCGCATCCTGGATTGTGGACAAAAATGTATGTAACTAATTGTAATTATGTAATGCATTCCATATGTTATTTTGAGGATGTATAGGGTTAGAGGCATGAATATGTGAGTATGTATGTAGATATATGTATGTGCATGTATGTGAGTATATATGTCTGTATATGTACATATACACATCTGTTTGTACAAAATACAATATATGCCTATATGTATACTCTATGTACTTATGGTTTACTTTTTTATCTTCTAAATCAATAAATACAAAATTAAAACATTGATCACAAAAGTAATAATAATAACTGTGAGAACAGACATAATTGTAAAAGCTGGTAACTGGCTGTGGGTCGTCAACAGATCATATGATCATGGTAAGTTGTTAAGTCGCTGTTACAAAGTTCTATTGTTCTGTTGTTCAGTCAGCTGATCTGCTCAGCTGAACACTATTATTCACACATGCTGCTCACTTACTGGACTGGAGTACACATTGTAGGGAGGTACTTGTTTAAACACTAACATGTATCTTCTTGGATTGATATTGTGTGTCACTTTCCTCAAAGATCAGTGAGATTAGATATTAACTATAATTATAATAACTACATCAGCTGGTTTGCGCAGTGAACAGCTGTTCTGCTGACAGCTGTTCACTGCTGTTTGTCATTTTGTCTCAGAGGGTTATTTTATTTTTTTCAACCCTGAGGGATGATTATTAAGTTATTGACTTTCTCTAAATTGATTATCAAACTACATAGAATAGGTTATGGGGGTTTAGGGTGTCTGGTACACTAATGTCTATTAGAAACCGAATACCAGCTCTAATTCAACTTTGATATACGGAATATGTTAAGTGCTTCCTTTTGTCGTCTTCAGGCATTTGTGACTTTGAGAAACGTTCCTTTACCAGAAGGGTTCTTTTATCAAAGGGGTTATTTTATCATAAGGGTTATTTTATCTCAAGGGTTCTTTTATCTGAACGATTACTTTATCTGAAGGGTTCTTTTATCTGAACGATTACTTTATCTGAAGGGTTCTTTTATTATGACATGGGGAAGGCAAAGAAAAGCAAACTTTGGTTATTTTAGTTCTCTCTGACTCCCTCTCTGAGACTCCACTTCTCACTCTCACTGACTAACTCTTTTTTCACTTTCTTTGACTCACTCTCTCACCCTTGCTCTGCAGCTTTGCAGCTTTTCCACTGGAAGGAACCAAAGAAGTCGCTGGTGGCGTTCGGATTGTCGCTGCTGGTTCTCGTCTCGGTGGCAACGCTTTCTGTCATCAGTGTGGTGTCGTACCTGCTGCTGACCTGCCTCTGTGTCACCATCACCTTCAGGTGAGGGCATCACCTGCTATGAACTAACTTACAAAGCAATTACTTGAAATTTGTCACACCTTATTTATTTTGTTCTTCTCAAGTTATATTTAGGTTGAACCTGACATTTTGATTAAATATAATTCTTATTATACCCGTTGAAGGAGACCAATATTATATCATTCACAAAAAATAAGTAAAATGTCTCTGTTAACACATACTGCTATTTTAATTACACATTAATCATATATTTAACTTAAAAATCTTACTTAATGTAGATAAATACAATACTAATGTTGGTGCTTTTTCCCAACTTGAAACTTTAATAATTTATCATTTTAAAGTGCAGAATAAATAGCTAAAATAAATACATAAACCTGCGTATTTGAACATTATGAAAAGAACAAAAAACATGCCTTATACAAATGTCTTTCATGGGTTTCATTTAGAGCTTGGCACTCAAGACTGCACACTCTTTATGTCATCTTCTTTGTTTCCATCTCCATGATTATTTTTTATCTCGCATCAAAAGTGTGTTACAGCTCACCTAAATAGAGTTTGAATTAGCCCAAATGACGTAGCAAATGCAAACCATTAAGGACTTCCACACCATCAATATCAAATCCAATGTTAAGTGGTGGTGAGAGGACGTCCTCATCCTCCCTGATGACAAAGACTGCCATATCCCATCTCTTACGCTGTGTTCCAGCAGAATTTTTGTGAGCCAACTGGTAAAAGACGAAACACTTATGAGAAAGTTATTCTGATGAAACTAGTTTGTGATACACCATTATAAAAAATATCTACAAATCCAACTCTCATCAAATCTCTATTGGAGCTTTAACGATGCGGAAAAAATGATATTCAAAGTCCAGCAGATCAATAATTGCAGTTCCTAATATTCATATCACAGAAAAACAATTGGTAAAGCCTTCACAGAAGTTCTAAGTAACAGCCATATTCCGAAGAGTTATAAAATCCGCTGCAACAAAAGAAGATCAATAATTAAAATAATGACCTCAATTAAGATTTCCTATAGTGTAAAAAATAAATTGATATTAATTTCACATTTTGGATCACACCATAGATATAATTAAATGTTTATGTCCAGGCTAGTTATTTCACACTATAACTAAAATATATTAATATGGTCCAGCCATACTTGTTTTAAAAATAACGGCGTAATAATAGCATACAGGAACCACAAGGTTGGTGGTTCGAGTCCCATCTGCCCCAAGTCGAAGTGTCCCTGAGCAAGACACCTAACCCCTAATTGCTCCCCGGGCAAAAGGTGAAAAGCCATGGGTACCAAATGTAATGTAAGTCGCTTTGGATAAAAGCGTCAGCTAAATGTAATGTACAACTGTGATTTTTCTCTGATAGAGTGATTGAACAGATACTTCTTTGTCACAAAAAACATTCATGAAGCTTGGTTCTTTTATGACTTTATTATGGGTTAACAGAAAAAGTGACCAAATCTGCTGGGACAAAAATATACATACATACAAACTAACATGAATTAGCAATTTTGGTGACTTAGAAAGTTGTGTCAATGAAATGAGCTTCATAGCATGGCCTCTTAACTCCTTGTGAGTGATTATGAGTGACTACAGCTGGTAACTCTGAGGCCATTTAAATACGGCTCATGGGATACAAACGCTACAACGGGAAAGTCAAAGGAGCGCAGCATGGATCTAAAAAAGCAAATCATTGACTTGAACAAGTCAGGAAAGTCACTTGGAGCCATTTCAAAGCAGCTGCAGGTCCCAAGAGCAACAGTGCAAACAATTGTTTGTAAGTATAAAGTGCATGGCACTGTTTGGTCACTGCCACGATCAGGAAGAAAACGCAAGTTATCACCTGCTGCTGAGAGAAATACTCTACCAATGTCTAAGATCAATCATTTATTTCCACTTCCAGATCAATCATTTATTTCCACTTCCACCTTCTTTGCTATGCTATGAACACACATAGTTAAGGCAGGGCAAGACACATTTATTTTGATAGCACATTTCAACAACAAGGAAATTCAAAGTGCTTTACATAAAACCAGGAGGAAAAGGACATTTTAAATTAATGTCATTACAGTCTCCCCTGGTCAAACATGCATGTGTTTACTGTCTATTCCTTTGTCTCCTAACCCATGGTTAAGGGCCTAACCCTAACTCTTAGATGAGGGCCCAACAGGTCAATCAGAATGCTCCAAACCTTCAGTCTTGCAGTTTTTAATAGTTATCGTTACATGCATTTGTACTTTGTCATCTCTAACTCCACTGTTGTTCATTTCTACTGTACTCATTTTTATGTGTGAATTGATTAAGGCTGGACTGAAACATGTATTTGTCTGAATGAAGGTAAAGTTGGTGTGGTGTATCTTCCTTTTTGTAGGGTCTATAAATCTGTTATCCAGGCCGTCAAGAAATCAGATGAAGGTCACCCATTCAGGTAAGGTCATTGGTGTTGGTACCACAGTGCTACCTAGCGCTGAGCCATATAGAGTTGTCAGATTTCATTACGGTGTAATTTTTATGTACAAATACTGGCGTATAGCCCTAATAACTGATGTTGCTCTTCGTCAGACATCAGAATTAATTTTTACACATCACAGCCGAGATTGTAGTGGTTTGGGCTACTTGACTTATGTGTATTGAGATTGTGTCATGGTTATAACATTATACATCAATTAATAACCCACAACAAACGCTCTTTAACAGGGTAAAACACCACGACACAACAGCTTGTGACACACAGCACTAATTATTGGACGTTCATAAAAGTACCCCACCAAACTACATGCTGGGTAGAGCACGCCTGCTAACACAACAGATAGAAACTGGCACTACATGAAAACACGGAAAAAAGCGATGCAGGAGGAACAACGAGAGACCGGAGATGCACCAACACTTGTACTCAAGAAAAATGCTGTGTCTGTTTGGAGGGTTTTGGGTTTGGGTTTGTCGCCAGTCTTTGCATCCTGTCACCTGCATGCAAACAGGTCTCTGTTGGAGACGGACATGTCTGTATCCTTGGAGTCTGCCCGGATGCTAACTGACCGGTCTCTGGTTCATCTGAACTGGTTAACCTGTCAAACCAGGAGGCTGCTTCTGGTCGAAGACCTGGTTGACTCATTGAAGGTCAGATTCAGACAGAATCTGGGATGGTTTTAAATGCTAGCTTGTGTTCACGTTTTTAAATGTTTCTCCTCCTTATATTCTTTGTACATTATGGGTTTGGACTTTGTTTTTATTTGCCTTGTTAAGCTGGCTGCTGTCATGTGGATGATGACGTATGTTGGAGCCATCTTTAATGTAGTCACCATCCTCATCCTCGGTGAGTACTCATCCTACTGACTCGTTGATTTAGATCAGTTGAAAAAAACTAACAAACTGAATTTTCTTCCTTATCCAGCTGACATCATGTTCTTCAGCACTCCTCTCATCTACCAGAAGAAAAAGGTAAAAATGTTTGTTTTGGTTTTCATGGTTTTTCATGGCTTGGTTCAACAGAAGCTGCATAAACACAAGAAAAACATTAGATAACTCAACCAATGTCTCAGATCAATAATTTGTTTCCACTTCCAGATCAATCATTTATTTCAACTTCCACCTTCTTTGCTATGCTATGAACACACATAGTTAAGGCAGGGCAAGACACATTTATTTTGATAGCACATTTCAACAACAAGGAAATTCAAAGTGCTTTACATAAAACCCATTAAAACCAGGAGGAAAAGGACATTTTAAATTAATTAAGTTAAAACAGACCCTAAATAAAATAAAATGTGCAGTACATTTAATGAAATAACCAGATTAAGCATCCTTGGATCTGGTTAATTAAAGCGAGCAGACAGAAAAGTCTTCGGTCTTAATTTGAAGCCGCTGAGAGTCTCCGCAGATCTGTGTATCCTCTGGGCTGTCCACCTGTCTGTGTTTCCTCCTCATCAGATTATTTATATATGTTGATCAGTAAACCGTGTGTGTTTAGGAACAGATTGATCGGTACATTGAGTTGATAAAGTCCCGGGTGGAGGAGATGCGGCAGAAGTGAGTTCACATCTCAAGTATATATCTAATATCCATCCATGGGTATTTATACTGTGATTTAGTACCGTCTTTGTATTAGTACATGATGTGTATATACTTAGTATCAGTATACTGTCTGTGTATTAATACTCTATATCAATAGTTGATTAACCCTGTTTGTGGTTGTGTGTGCATTAGTACTTACTAGTAAATGATGTGTGGTAATACACACAAGTATCAGTTTATTATGTGTGTATTAACACTCGGTATCAGTACTTACTGTGTGTATTAGTAGCTAAAGGGACAAACAGATTGTGTGTGTATTTATACTCACTATCAGTACTTTCTGTGTGTATCAGTACTGTAATACTGCTTGTGTGTCCTCAGGATGAAATATAGGTTACCTGGAGCTGTGGGAAGAACCAAGGCTGAATGACCAATCACACTACTTCATACGCTAATGTCATTTCTTCTCTGATTGGTTGGTTTATCACTGATTCTCCTGCTCCAATACAATTCTGACTCACAACCTCATTGTTTGTTTTATTCTTGTTATTATTTATTGTACTTCAGGAAGATCCTCAGATAAAAACGTAACCAGTGGTGGGTTGTGTTCTTTTAATTACACAATGCAGAACCAGATGTTGCAGACACACAGACCAAGCGAGATCCACTGCACTCCACTTAGTGCACCTTCCCAGTTGTCATCCAGTTTACTGTTATGACATAATCAGCATTTGCACAGAGACAAAGTACACTGAACTAACTGCTATCAGGGGTTAAAGGTCACTGCCGACAGAAGAACTGAATCTGCTGAAACTGCAGAAAGACAAGAGACAAATGAGAGGAGGAAGACCTCTGTAAGAGGAACAAAAGGAAACGTGACCGATACGGAAAGAAAGTTTCTCAACTGGACTAAAGGAGACTGAACTGAAGCTTCACCAGAGTAACTGGATCAAATAAAGTCACTTCCGGGAACTTTCCTTTTCCTGCCACAATTTCAGGTAACGCACAACTTTAGCGCCATAAAAACCACTACTACTTTTTTCAAAAAAGAGACAGGAGTTGCTCGTTGCTGAGGTTCAACTAGCATATCTGGGCGTGGAGCCAGCTGCCACTGTGAGGAAACACTGAAGGTAAAGCCTGCAATTTTCTTTACTGAGACTCAAAGTTCAAGTTAATTCTGGTAATATATTTATTAGTATATGGCAGTTCAATTTGTACATGTTCTGGAGATTATTTTCCAAAGAAAACCAATTCAAACAAATGGTATGTATGTATATGCATTCATATGATATACTGTATATATTTATATTTACAGAAGAACCACAGTCTCACAGAGCTACAGTCACCAAATACAATGTAATGAGTTTGTGTTAAGGACCATCAACGACATAATTTCATTATGGTTTGGTGGAAATTAACTACTTAAATGAACGTGTGGAAGTGTTGGAGGTGTGATTGTCACGGTGTGGGTTTGTGTCCTGTTGTATTTTGTAGTTTACTGCCTCTTGTGTCCCTGGGTTAGCTTCACTTTCCGCCCTGCCCTGTCATCGCTTGTGACTGTCTGTCGTGTCCCTGATGGTTTCCACCTGTGTCCAATCACCAGCACCTTCCCTGTGTATTTCAGCCATGTGTATCTCCTGGGCCCTGTTCCTCGTACGTGGCTAACTGAGTTAGCCGGATCATTTTCAGGATGAGATGACGTAGATCAGGCTTTTGGATTCCCCAAAGCAGGTTTGGCTAAATCACCATAGCAACACATCGAAAAACTTGAACCTGCTCCGGTGCAGCTTCATTTGAACCAGCTGGATTAGTTCATCACTCAACCCGAAAAAAAAGACAGCTCACTACCTCATTGATGAAGGAGCGATATCAGTTAGATTAACGTTTTATAGGGAGACACTTCTCCAAGATCACAAAGACCCGTTATGACATCACGATGACGTCCTGCATGAGTGCCATTGAGGCTAAAGACAAGGAATCATTTCCCGAGCCGAAACGTCACGTGATGAACACCTCACGCTGCAGCTGAGCATCCACTGTCCCACAGACTGTCTCACATACTGTCCCATGGACCGTCTCTAGACGGTCTCACACACTGTCCCACTGACTATCTCTCATACTCTCTCACATACTGTGTCACACACTCTCTCATGTCTCACACACTCTCTCATGTCTCACACACTCTCTGACACACTGTCTCTCACACTGTCCATGTCTGTACGGTGTTGCGATGCAGAGAACGGGATAATGATTCTCCCATACACAATCACAAACACATAATAAAGGTATTTGTTCTATAACGTCATCTACACATACATATGATACATAAGCTGATACGGTACATAGATCCTATTCATTCGTATCAATTAGATTCTTTGGGCTTGTTTTCATCTACATACTGTGAAAGAGTTGAGATCATTATTCTCATTGGATGAAGATGCGTCCATGAAGCCTCCTGCAAGCAAACATATTTAAATAAATGTAATCTGATTGATTAGAATGACGAGGCACTTAAAATTTGCTTATACATTTTACCAACATGCATTTAAAGTTCACTTGTCTGCGATACTTTGTCGGGCTTGTAGCCTCGCAGGGGGGCGCTGTCAGTTTTTGCCTCATGTGTCTTTACAGTCTGTACACATGTGACATCCTCTGTCCAGAAAACATCACATCAGCACAGGAAAAACTCCCTAAACAATGAAAAAGTCTTCAATGGGCAGAATAAAGGGACGAAACCTTTAGAGAGACAGAGTAGGATCCTCCCCCGGGATGGACAGACTGCGATCGACGTACAGAATGAACAACGTAAAAGATGTACTATACGCTCAATTCATCCGACAGAAATGATTCAAATACACATATTATCTCCTTATAAGCATTCATGATCATCTCCTGCTCGTCAGCGGAGAAAAAAGACAATCTTCCTTTAAGTTTATTTGCCGTGATACTGTTAGAAAATCTTGGTTTCAGTGATTGACTCCTGATGACTGACATCTGGTTCAAACTAACAAGACTGTTTGAGCGCCGATCCGCCTTTGAGGAACCGATATAGCCTGATGTCAATCATCTCGGTAATTTGAGCTAGATAATGGTCCATTTGATGGACTTAGTTGAACCACGTACGAGAAACAGGGCCCTGGTTGAGTCATTACGTTGTTTTCCATGTTGGTGTGTTCCCATTCTGTGTTTTCCTCCTAGGTATTTTTGATTTGAGCTTCAATAAAATATGTTGTTAGTTAAAGTCTGGATCCGGGTCCTGCTTGTGCCACCCCGTTGCCATTATAAGTACAATGTGCTACAATTTGTGAGTCAAGGTAGAGTCTGGAGTCAGGAAGAGTCTGTCTTTAGTTTGCGGCGGAAGATTACATTACATTACAGGTCATTTAGCTGACACTTTTATCCAAAGCGACTCACATTACATTTTAACTCATGGCTTTTTACATTGCTTGGGGAGCAATTAGGGGTTAGGTGTCTTGCTCAGGGACACTTCGACATGGGACAGGGGGCAGCCAGGACTCAAACCACCAACCTTGTGGTTCCCAGCGCACCCTCTCTACCCCTGCGCCACGACGACGCATTACATTACATTACATTTCATGTCATGTAGCTGACGCTTTTATCCAAAACGACTTACAATAAGTGCATTCAACCATATGGATACAAACTCAGAAGAGCAAAAAAACAAGAAAGTGGAATTTCCTCAAATAAGCCAATTTACAATTTGCTATAGATAAGTGGCATTAAAAGTACAATTTAAGTGCTACAATTTGTTAGTCTTTCAGTTGAGAGTCTGAAGAGTTGTGTCTAGTTTGCGGAAGATGTGATTTAGTCGAGTGTTTTGCTCTGAGTGAGGAGGAACAAGCAGTTTTGCAGAGAGTGCGGGTCAGGATGTCGGGTTTGACCATGTCCTTTATGTAGACTGGACCTGATCCACTGCATGGTACGTGAGGACCTGCGCTGCCTTCTGAGTGAGAAGACAACGTATTCTCCTGATGGTGTAGAGCGTGTATCTACAGAATCGTGTTGTCGCAGTTATGTTGGGAGTCAGGGAGAGTCGGCTGTCGAGTGTCACCACGAGGTTCCGGCAGTCAAAGTGGGTGTTAACACAGAGTTGCCAAAGTTAACCGTCAAGTCCTGGGTAGGAGAATCTTTTCCCAGAGATGTAGTTCAGTCTTGTCAGGGTTGATTTTCAGATGGTGAGCGGACATCAACTGAGAGATGTCAGTCAGACAGGCAGAGATCCGAGTGAGGGAAGGAGAGAATTAGTTGGGTGTCATCGGCATAGCTGTGGTAGGAGAAGCCATGCGAGCGAATGACAGCGGCGAGAGAGTTGGTGTAGAGCGAGAAGAGGAGGGGACCCAGGAAGGAACCCTGAGAAACTCCAGTAGTAAGAGGACAAGGTTCCGACACAGATCCTCTCCAGGTTAACCGGTAGGTGCGGCCGTCGAGGTAGGACGAGAGAAGGGAGAGAGCAGAGCCTGAGACACCAAGTTCCTGAAGGGAGGAAATAAGGATCTGGTGTTTGACCGTGTCAAATGCAGCAGAGAGGTCCAGAAGGATGAGGACAGCGGCTCTAGCCTGAATGGCCTGCCTTGAAGCCTGACTGGTGGGGGTCAAGGAGGTTGTTACGGTGGAGATAAGAGGAGAGTTGGTTAAAAATGGGCCCTTTAAAGAAACCTTTTCAGGCTCAGTTGCTCTCTCTCTCTCTCTCTCTCTCTCTCTCCTTCCAGAGACTCAGATTCAGACAAGAGGTTAACATAAAGATCAATGGGAAAAAAGAGAAGCAGAGCAAAAGTCAGAGAAGGTTCTCGTCACCTAAAAGACAACATCACTGATCCACCCTTAAGTTCAGCTCAAGTTCAGGCGAGCTTACGTTGTAGTTAACATTACTGCAATCAGCAGGTGGCGGATATTGAGACTAATTTCTCTGTTTCGGGGAGTTGTTTTAAATTCGTCACGTCACGCTGGGATTTCCGAAACAAGCTGGAATCCCAAAGGACAAGAATTGATGGGATGTTATAGGAAACGTTTGTCAACCACTGTATTAAAGGGTTTTCTCCATGTACCTTTTTTGTTTTTATGAGTATTTCTTTTTTGGTTTCAGTTCAGCAGCTTTTCAGTTGATCAGATCCTCGGAAAATAATGGCTGTCATCTTACCGAGAGACAAGTGAGTCAAATAACCTTTACTTTCAGGATCATTGAAAAATAAGAAAAACTACAGGATTGTACAGATTGTATTGTACATTCGTTCTGATTATTTTTGTTTTAATTCTGTTTAATTGACGAGTAACACAGAACCTCAAATCTGAACCAGAGTTATTGATGTTCTGTCGGGAGGTGACTCAGTACTTGTGCTAAGAATTTCGTTTGGAAATTGGAGTGTAGCAGCTTCTAGTCCACAAAGACAGAGCCAGTGTGGACTAGTAGCTGAAGAGGACGATTCACCTATCGGGTTCTGTGTGAGATCCAGGAGGTTCACCTCTAGCAACCATCACCTTGAGTGGAGTGTGATTCAGGGGGTCCACCTCTACCAAAGATCACCTTCAGCAGAGTAAAGCTGATGGCTTGCAGCTACAAAAGTCATAATACATTATGGGTTACCAAAGAACAATACTTTTAGTGTCAGTTTCATGACAAATTATTTTATTTTGAAAACATTATACCTACAGGTATTTTGGCGTCTGGTTGATCTTCTTCATGCTCGGTTTGGGGACGCTGCTGCCCTGGAACTTCTTCATGACTGCTACCATGGTATAACATCACCATCTTCAGCTTTGAAGCTTTGATGTTATTTTAACTTGATAGAGAATTTAAACACTCTCACATATTGAGTGAAACCCTAAAGGGTTATGTGAAAATTTGGATAGAAGTTTTCTTTGCATATATGTAATTAATTAAGATATTAATATCTCATGGAAAACAATTTATATTAGGTGTGCATCAAGGCAAAAAGTATAACGTTTTACTTTTTGGGCTTTTAATGAAGTACTTCATTGGTGCTGTTCACAGCAGTCTAACTGTTTAACTGTAAAAACAGTACACTATAATTGTTCAAATCTGACTGATGTACAATATTTTCGCCATGTTTGTAGTTTAACACATAATGCAGATTTTGTTTTTAAATCGATACTGAGAGCTACTAAAAGCTAAATGCCCACAGGAGTTGTGTTTTCTTGCATGTTTTACTGTGCGTTGCCAGCAGGTGGCGGTGCAAAGAGTTACAGGCTGTCATTTAAAGTTTCTAATAAAGCTTTATATTTGTGTTTATACATTCAATGTCTAAGGGTGGAGCAAAGGGGATTACAACTGAGAGCCACAGTATTGACATCGACCAACATGTTTGTGGACTATTATGTTTCATTAAATGCAGACTCAAAACAGTTCTGTCTTTTCCAGTACTTTACGAGTCGTCTAAAAGACTCCTCATTGGTTGATTCTTCAGCCAATCAGACAGAAGCATCAAGTGAACGTCGAAGTCTTCTAGAGGCTAAATTCAACAATGTGATGACGCTGTGTTCCATGCTGCCACTGCTTCTCTGCACCTGCCTCAACTCCTTCCTGCACTCACTGTGAGTAGTAGAACATTACAATACCAATGAAAAGTTCTACGAAATACTGAAAGTGACTAGGCCCTATGCCATCATTTCTTATGTTATTACTTCTGCTATTATGTGCTGGTGCACTTTTTTTTAGAACTTTTTAGAATGTTGTTCTAACACTATAACAATAATACATTTTATTCATAACTTCATCAGCAGATGAGTCAGAGTGCGACAGAAGTCAAAACATGGTTAAAAATAAATTAAAAGCTAGTAAAAACATAGGGGAAGAAAACAACCCTAGAGTAAAAAAATGCCTTCTTGAATAAAAAGTTTTTCAGGCCATCGGCTATGGCGCGGAGCTTTGTTTTGTGGATCTTGAGAGGCGAGCTGCTTGCAAATCTGAGGGTGCGGGTGGAGGTTTGGGGAGTGAGCAGTTTTTGCAGACAGGGAGGTGCATGTCCATATATGCATTTGTGAGTAGTCGAATTTCGTAGTCAATCCGGAATGAGACAGGGTGCCGGTGTAGTGAGTGTAGGATGGGTGTTATGTGTTCGTATTTCTGAACTCTCATCAGGATCCTGGCAGCGCTGTTTTGCGTGTATTGTAGTTTCGGGATATTTTTGCCAGTGATTCCAGTTAAAACGGAATTACAGTAGTCCAGTCTTGAGGAAAGTTGTCTTAGCCGTCGTGTTGTACTTCTATCCATCCTGACTATGGGGGAATTTAAGACATTTGTTGTTGTAGTCTTGGAACATGTTTTTGGTTTTATCCTCCACAAGGTCTCTGAACTTGTTGACTCGTTACAGTTTCCATTTCTATGTTCAATTCGTCAGCCCTCATTCAGTTTCCCAGACTCTTTGATACAACTCTCTGAGCTCTCAGATTACCCTTTGAGCACCTCCTCTCTGTGTCAGTATTCCTCAGCGTCTGCGTGTGATGGGGTCTCTACTCATCATCATGTTTGTCTTCATCGCCACCGCTCTCCTTGTTAAACTTCCTTTGGAGCCACTGCCCTTTTTCTCTGTTACCATGGTGAAGATCATCGTCATCAACTGTGAGTCTTGCTTGTTTGTTAATCGCATTTCTTTTATTTTGGTGGGGGGTCTTCAATACAGCTTGTTACCACATTTTATGTTAATAATGTAACTTTTTTGGAATTTGAAATTTTGGATTATTTTAGGACTGCTCTTATTAAATCTTTTTAAAAGCTTGTTTATCTAGTTTAGCTTTTTATAATTGACTCATTAACTTCCAAAGGGCTCAATACAAAGGTCAACAACCAGAACCAGTCTACAATGTCTGAAACATTACCTGAATATTATTAATATTAATATGACAAATTGTACCATTGGTTTGTGATTGATCTCCGTCTTTCTGCCGTGAGAGATGAGGTTGATTTTATCAGTTGATCTTCATCCTGCTGGGTTGGAAACCTCATTTGATCCTCAGATCTTGGTTCTTTGTACTATTCCTTGTTTGGAGTGATTTAACTTTGAACCAGAGGATGATCCGTGTTTTTTTCAGCATTCGGAGCGGTGCTTCAAGGGAGTCTGTTCGGGATGGCTGCACTGCTGCCGGCTTCCTATACAACTCCAATCATGAGCGGCCAAGGACTCGCTGGAACCTTTGCAGCCTTTGCAATGATTTGTGCCATTGCAAGTATGATCAATAATTTGTTAACAAATACGAACGAATAAAAGATATATTTCAACTATAAGTAACCTATACAACATTCAATTTTATTTTTATTTCAAAATTACATCTATTCTATATCTCTATATTTATTGATGAGGTAAAAATTATTTTCAGTAGAATCCATTCAGTAAGTACACCTTGTCCTCTCCTTCTGTTCTTCTTTCCTCCTCTTCCCCCTTTTCTTCTTCTCCTTCTTTTCATCTTCTTATCTCGTTCTCCCCTTCGCTCCTTCTCCTCCCTTCTCTCCTTCTCCTCTTCCTTCGTTTCATCTTCTTCTCTCCCTGTAGGTGGCGCAAAGCTTGAAGATGCAGCATTTGGTTATTTCATCACAGCCTGTTTTGTTGTTTTTCTATCTGTCCTCTCATACATTCTGCTGCCTAAACTGGTAGGTGACATGCACACAGACACACCGACACAAACACGACTCTACTGTAATAAATGATTTATACAGTTCAGGTCTGTAAATCACCAGACACAAATAGTCATCACTCTGCAGCTTTGGAGTCTGCAGAGAGAAACATTACATGACCATTAACTACAAAGACAATCAAACTATCAAACTACACACACACACACACACACACACACACACACACACACACACACACACACACACACACACACACACACGTATACAGACACAGCCTCAATGTAAAACACAAAGCTGATGACTTCAAAAGTAATGTGTGCAATACATTACTTTTTCATTTCTGCAAACACTTCAAACACATGATGCTTTATAACAGCACTCTTTCCTTTTGTTAATGGAATTGCTTGCGTTAATTAATGCGTTAATGTTAGGATGTTTCTGTGTTTTCAGAGTTTTTTTCAGTTTTATCAGGAGAGAGACAGGACCCAGGAACCAGAGGAGGAGAACTCAGTAAATCTTATGAACAGAGGTAACAAATAAACACGTTAACACAAATTGATATACTTGTACTATAAGCTGAGTTATGTTTGGCAAGCTCGTCTTGTTTTTTTTTCCCTCTTCTCCCTGTTCTTCTTTTTCTTCATCTCCTTCTTCTCCCTGTTCTCGCTTTGTTTTTTCTTTCTCTCCCTCCCTCTTTTCTGAGTAAAGGTAAAGCTGCTGACCAGGACATGAAACAGAACATCTCCATGATAAACATCTTTAAGAAGGTGAGAGAAACAAGGAGCTCAAAATTTTCATGGATCATCATTTGGATCGTTGAAGTTTTTTTGAATTTAATTGACTGACTTCAGCTCGTAATTGATGGTTAGTTTTTCGGTGAGTGTAGTTAATTAAAAGTCAACGACAATATATTTGAAGAAGCAGATGGGTTTAACAGGATCCTTTTACCATAATACAATATTGTTTTTACTTAGTAAATTTATTTCATATGTTTGACCATCACCCTTCAGATCTGGCAGCTTGCTCTGTTGGTGTGTTTCACCTTCACCGTCACCATCGGAACCTTTCCTGCCATCACTGTTGACACCAAATCCACTATTGCCGACGGAGGCTCTTGGGGTAAAGTTTGTTCTTCTGTAGTGATAACGATATAAAGAGCTCATTTGAAGGAGTTCCTGACTGGACAGGTCCTTTTGGTGTTCAGTTGGCGTGTGTTGTTTTTATCTATATTTATTAGCATTTTGACCATTTGCAGGATCAGTAGTTACATAGGTTACAATAGATCAAAACATGGAAGGGATTAGAGTGGAGAAGAAAAAGGATTTCTTACATCTATTTAACCTATACAGTATGTGTGTGTTTGTAACAGTTAGGGATGCAACTAACGATTATTTTGATAATTGATTAATCAGTCTATTATTTATTCGATTAATCGATGAATTGGATTAAAAAAACGGCATTAAAAGCTTTAATTTCCAATTCTTTATTCTAAATGTTTCCTCCTGATTCCTAAAACAGAACTGCAAATTCACATTGCAAAAATACTTCAGAAAGTACAGGTTGCTCCTTGAACATAATAATTTCTAAAAAAGAAAAATACAAATCAGAAAATGTAACAGGATTGGTTTTAACGTCAGAACTAGACTACACACAAACGCTCACACTCACAAACACACCCCCATGTTCACTTGAAGCGTATTCATTAAACTATTACCATCCTTGTAATGCAAGTTAAGTAAATGCATAGAGCTAAAAAACAACCAAGTGCTATGAGATGAATTTAAAATGGCATTTGTAAATAAATTAGCGGCTTCTTAGTTGATTTAATGGATCACAGTGTGTCTCCCTTTACAGGCATAACATCAACTACCGTATAACCCACAGTATATGCGCACACGCACTGGACTACCGTACATGACAGCATTAAGAAGTACAACACACACAAATGTATTTGTCAACAATAACCGATATGGGACAAAGCATGAAATATATACAAGACAACAGGTTGAAAGATGAATGGTCCAAAAGAGGCATGTAAATAAAAATGTGTCTTAGTCTTGCAAACTGCTTTACTGCTGTTATTAGCGAGCTAACGCTAACCCTTGATCAGCTGGATGACCCAGTAGGAGCTAGCGCGAATCGTGGCACTGGCAACCCGCCGAGGCACTTCCTGTTGCAGGTTGGGGTGCCGCGGCGAATGCCGCAGTGTCGAGACAGTTGCCACGATTTCACGAGGCAGTTGCCACGACTTCGACGAGACAGTTGTCACGACTTAGAGGCAGTTGCCACGATTTCACGAGGCAGTTGCCACGATTTCACGAGGCAGTTGCCACGAAGTCGAGACATGATATGTTTGTTTTATAATTTGCCAATATGTGACAATACAATACTGCCTTTAAAAGTACTAGTGTTGGTAGTTATTATTTTAGTAATAAAAAGCCAATAAGTGATACAACGGCTTCCCATTTTAGTGCAGCTAAACGAATATGGACTAAGATCACTTGCCGCCCTGGTTATAATCTCTATTTCTAGAACTAATCAATGGGTATGTCATTATATGAACAAACGATAACACTGGGTGGGTGCCATCAAGACGTGTCTAAAATTGAATGTCAGTATATAATAGGAGTTACCAGTATGTTCATTTAAATTAATGTTGACTACAATTGTTGACAAAAGAATTTGCCTGAGCGTGATTGTGTGCATGACTGTTTTTAGATATCCAGTGATTGCACAAAAGCTGCTGGATTAAAGTATTAACCTTATTCTATATTTTTTCATGATCAGGCAACAGACAGTACCTTCATGATGGATGTTACGTAAAAGGAAAAATGACATTCTTTAAATTATATTTATTTCCTTTTGACTATATCTGTCACCCCCAATGCTCGCACACATTGGACGACTAGTCGAACAGACGTCCCTGCGTCATGTGACTCACAACAACTGCCGGCGCAGCTGGCAGCTCTTTCCTCTACTTCGGCTCAGCGCTTTTATTTTTATTTTTGCTCCGCGCATCTCAACTCAAACATTGAGTGACGTATAAATCGACGCAACAAATTGATGATGAAATCCGTTGGCAACGCTTTTAATAATCAAATTTTATCGATTTCATCGATTCGTTGTTGCAGTCCTAGTGACAGTTGTATATATATATTAGTGATGTATCACTTTACAGATTAACTTGGTGTTTGAGTCTTTCTTTTTTTTTTTTTTCACAGAACAGTTTTTTATCCCAGTCAGCTGTTTCCTGCTCTTTAACATGTGTGACTGGGCTGGGCGCAGCTTAACAGCAGTCTGGATGTGGGTGAGTTTCATATCAAGCATTAAACCCCCACATGTCTTCTGTCTCCACCCGGCTCATACATCCTGTTCGTACAGGGACCTCTTTCTGTATTGTTTAATGCTGTGTATAAATGTTTTAACGTCTGATGAATCTAACAATTTTTTATCTCTGTTTTCAGCCGAGGAAGGACAGCGTAGTTCTTCCAGTTTCCATTGTGTGTCGTCTCATCTTCATCCCTCTTTTCATGCTGTGCAACGTTCAGCCTCGTCTTCACCTGCCCATCTTCTTCCATCACGATGGCTGGTTCATAATCTTCATGATCTTCTTTGCGTTCAGTAATGGATACCTAGCCAGCCTCTGCATGTGCTATGGTCCAAAGTAAGTAAAAAGGAATGGTTTCAGAAGTTTAACACTAGTTCCATGAGCACATGTTGAGTGCTTCCTTTAATAACATTAACCAGCAATGGTGCCATGCCATTAAACCCAAAAGAAACTCTTACATTACCATACCTTCCTCAGTAAATTATGTGTTCTTATACATGTCAACTTAATTTGATACTTTTCATTCAAAGAATCAAGTCAGAAATAGTGGAGTTGTAAAGTGTGTTTTGCACTGGAGTGACCAACTAATACATATTACTTGTTGTTTCAGAAATGTTCTACCTCATGAAGCAGAAACAGCTGGGTCCATCATGGCTTTCTTTCTCTCACTGGGTTTGGCCTTAGGTGCTGCTCTCTCCTTTCTCCTAAGAGCACTGGTTTAACTTGAAACCAGTTACTTCTTACTGGATTACCATAAAACCACCAGTTTACCACTGGATTAACTCAGAGGAACAGCAACCGTTTTTTTGGGGTCTGACTGAGCAAATCTTTTCATTCAAACATTAGTATTTCCATCTTCATATGAAAAACAACCAACAAAGTTTAAGAACAGATTTGAAATAGAACAAGTTCAACGCTAGTTTCACACTCCTCATCAGACCAAAGTTAACAGGGTGAAGGTGGAGCTACAGGAACTTCTTTGGGAACCTGATCTTTCACAATAAAGTTCTGTCCCGGGAAAGACTGAAATGAGGCTGTGATGGGAGGGGATGGATATCTCTTTCTTTTCTTTGTCACATTCTCTCAATTTTTCCTTCTTTAGATTAAAGAAGATTTAGATTATTAAAGATTAAAAATTCTCATGAAATTAAAAAAGTAAAGAGGAAAAATTGAAAAACCAGTGTGGTTTACATTTTGTGGGTTAGGGTCGGAGGGTTAGGTTTGGAACGTAATCCCATAGATCTCCTCGTGTTGTGCAACGATTTAGGTTGTAGGTTGGATAGAGAGCTAAGGCCAGGCATCTCAGTCAATATACCCCAAGGCATATAAACTAGAGCTGCAACGATTAGTCGCCGTAATCGACAATGTTGATTATGAAAAATCGTCGGCGCGGATTTCTATCGTCAACGCAACGTATATTATAAAAAGATTCAGAGCTACCGGTCTTTTTCATCCAGCATTGCAATAATGTCTGCACTGTAGAGCAGATATCATCCTGCCGGGAATGCACAGGCTCAATTGGTCGATTTGTACGCCTTGGGATGGCTTAACTCAGGCAGAAGGCAGTTATGCAGTTGGTCACTACTATAAAGACAACCAAAGCTGCGACGTTTGAAATAGAAGTGCCCCGTCAGGTTTTAAATCACAACCGTCTGTTTAAGCTTCACGTCCATGTCTGGACGGGCCACCTTCTGGGTCCAGATCCAGGCCGAGGCTTTCCAGTTAGGGGCAAAGGGTTAGGGTTAGGGGCAAAAGGTCCAGCAGGGGAGCATTGCCTTCTGGCTCTGCTCTCTTTTTCTTGCAACGGTGCAGTAAAGCGAGTGCAATACCGCCCCGCTGGTCCGATTCTCCGGCCAAACTCACACTCCATCTTACCCTAACTCGTGAACAAGACCCCAAGGTACTCCATTGGTTTCCTGCTGAGAGCCATGGCCTCGGATTTAGAGGTGCTGATCCACATCTCAACCGCTTCACGCTCTGCTGCGCACCGTTCCAGTGAGAGTTGGAGGTCACAGACAGAAGATGCCATCAGTGGAGGAAATCCCAGCCAGCATTGAGTTAACTCAACACAGAGGCCGTTGGGTGGAGCCAAACCCAGGAGCATTTCAATGTAAGGCAGGAGTGTCCAAACTTTCTTTCTCGAGGTCCACATACAGAAAAATACATAAAGGACTGGGCCACTAATCCTCTAATATTGGAATATTGCAATCAAATGCAGGTAAATTATGTTTGATAATTGAACATGTTTGATGAAAAAAAGCCTCCATCATAGCTCTCCATTAGTAGATTTTCATTTTATTTTTTACAAAAAGGTTGGCAGGTCATTCTCTCAGTGAGTGAGATTGGTTCTTAGGGTGCTGATCCCTCTTCATTACAGGATATTTTTAGCTTATTACACAAATTATTGGGATTGTTAACACAGCAAATAACGTTTGCTTAAAAATTGTCATAAACTTTAATTAACTGAATTTATTAAGTAATTGGGCTTATGACAAATGACCACTGCGTATATTTTTAACTCCCCTGTAATGGACTGACTGTTGCGCTCAGTGGAAGCAGTGATGCTGCGCTTTGGTCCAAAGGAAAGCTGGCAGGTCAGGAGTAAGTTTGGTGGTTGAGATGCGGAGAACGTCACGGAGAAGCTGTCGGTCATTGTGCTTCTCGGTCTGCTTTTGTTCAATCTCGGAAGCGCTGACAGAATTCTTTCATGAGAGATGTGATCGCAGACACATTTTCTCCCATTTTATCAGAGAGCTGGGCATTTGGAATCACGCATTGTATTGTGGTCAGTGTGGGGAAGTGCGCTACATTGAAGTTTCGCAGGTGTGACTCGGAAGAGACAGCGCCACGCACACAATGCTTTCATGTGCGCATACAGCTGCAGTACCAGCTCCTTTTTGCCTTGTAGTCTCTTATTGAGGGTGTTGAGATGGTCAGTGAGATCAACTAAAAAAGCCAACCATAAAAGGTCAGTGATCTCACGGAGAGGTCTACCCTTTTCATTCAAAAACGTGTTGATATTTGATCCCAGGGAATAGTACCGCTGCAGCACGGAGCTGCGACTGAGCCAGCGCACCTCAGAATGTAGACTAGCTCCCCGTATTCAGCCTCCACATCAGAGAGGAACTTTCTGTGGTAAAGCCTTCGTGCCTGAATTATGTTGACAGTTTTCACAACTGCGTTCAACTAGAAGTGCAATACAGTGGAAATAGTCCATTATATTGGACTCTCGCTAATGAAGCTCTGGACACGCGTTCTTCTTAGGGTTTTATTATGAACCAGGAAAACAAGCTACTGTGGGCCGTAGCCTGCGCTGAAAAGCAGACCATCAGTTTTAATCACCAGAACTCCAACCATGCTCCCGCGTTCCGTTACTCCAACTCACCCCTAAACATCACAACAGCACATTCCCATAGGCTGCACTAAGATGATTTATATCCCCTCGTGAGCCATTCACTGACCTTATAAACTCAGTAAATGTGAAACCTCGCTCACAGAACATGTCAGTGCGTTAGCAAAATGTTTACAATTGTAATGAAAATATCACTTTTTGAATTCCAGTAACATAAACTATTATTATTATTATTTTTAATAATATTATCATAATATGTTATCTGAATCATCAACAAACTTCCTCATCAGTGGACAGGTGATGAACATAGAACTTTGATCTTGGTGTCGAGTAATGAATATCTTTTGCTCTCATTTATTGTGAGTCTGTAGATATTATTTTTTTTTTCAGTTTCCTCACAGAAATGAAGGCTTTTACAGGGCAAGGTCAACAATTAGTTATTTATTATTATTGAAGAAATATAATTATAATTGGGATCATTGTTGTTCTCATCATATGATGTATCTATGCCTTTTATGTGAAATAAATTTGAATTCATATTTTTATCACCATCATGTGAGACACTTGTTCCTTTTCTCCCCTCGATATGAGGCGTGATTGTGACATCACTTGGCCTGCTGAGGTCGCACCGACTCATGTACTACGTTAACCCGGTCCATTCATGACACCTGTGTATTTTCCCATCAATAAAATGTTTGTTGGACCGCCGAAATCCCACACCAAGCACATCCATGTTCAACTGCAATACTTGTGGTCATAATCAACTCATCCTTCACCATTAAAAAAAAAGAGTAGATAATAACATAACATGTGTGGTCCAAAATTTTGAATAGTAAACCAAAATCTATGAGAACTATAGAAAACAGGAAAAATCTTTAAGCCTGAGATACATGATCTTATGCCAATGTTGCCAGTACTATTTCAGATGGGGAAAGTATAGCGATCAATGTTATTTAATTTTTTTTTATTACAACAGGAGTTCTCAAAACTTGGGATGTTGGAAGGATGTTGAGGTTAAAATTGTTTTCGTTCTGCTTAAATAAGAAAATCTTTCTTGTGTCTAATACAATGTTAGACTTTCCAGTGCTTGGAGGGCCCACTTTAATGTAGTGGAACCAGTAGAATATATACTCCACCAAAAGAATAGTAAGTAATTCCATCCATCCATCTTTAAAACACTTATCGTGCAGACAGGGTTGTGGGGGGCTGCAGTCAATCCCAGCCAATTTTGGGCGAGAGACAGGGCACACCTTGGATTGGTTGGCAGCCAATTGCAGGACTAACACAGAGACAAACTAACATTCAAACTCACATCCACACACCTACGGGCAATTTAGAGCCACCAATTAACCTGATCCCCAGAGCATGTCTTTAGACTGTGGGAGGAAGCCAGAGGACCCGGAGAGAACCCACGCAGACAGGGGGAGAATATGCAGACCGCACACAGAAAGGCCACAGGGAGAAGTCGAACCCAGGACCTTCTTGCTGTGAGGCCACAGTGCTAACCATGACACCACCGTGCTGCCCGTATGGCATTCCAATATATTTGAATGTTAAAGTATTTGCTTCGAATTCAGCATTCTGCAAATGTGCTTCTTCCCCTTTCTTACAGATTGCAAATCATTGACACGCATGTGGCTTCAGCAGACCTCTATTGGACATAATAAATGTTTCCACTCTTTACATTGATGTTCCTAACAAGGATATCTCAAATTCTCTGAATTCAACTGAGGACACCGCCAGCTTGGCCAAAAGTGTGGCGTATAATGGACTAAACTATAGATGTGTGATGATTTTGATCAATGGCTTACTGGATACATGGCCAGTTTGATAAAATCATATAAATGGTGATACTGCAAGACAAGTTCATCTTCATTGTGTAGAAGCTCAGCCTGTAAAATTAGAAATGAATGATTTGAATAATAAATATTCTTTTTCATTGTGTAACCAGTGAGGAAATGTCCCTCCTGAGCTACTGTAGGCTCAGGCAGGCCTCGGTACCTCCTACTTTGTGGTTTGACAGGGTATAAAAGCTGCACATTATGTAGCAGCTGTCAGTATGCTTGTCCCTTTCTGTGTTGGAGTCTGGTTGGACAATCTAGTGAGCTGGTAGGTGTTTTTATTCTCAGTTCTTAGGTAGACCCAGGTAGAGGAGGCTTGGAGTCCAAAGGCTGGGATTGGAAGCCGCCACTGTTTTTTTATTTTGTCTTTCTTTATTTTGGTAGTATTAATTACCTTTAGTATCCAGAAGGTTACTTTTTGTTCGATTTGATTCTTTGGTTCTTTTTTGGGTGCTTGAGGCTCAACAGTGTGGCTTCACAGATGGTGGTGGCTGGGCCTCTCACCTGCTCCTCATATTCTCTGTTGTTGTTTTTTTCTTACGTATATCTTCAGTTATTGTGTGTGTGTGTGTGTGTGTGGCGCATTACAGCCGGTGAGGGGCATGCCCCCCCCCCGTTACCCGCTGCGGCCTAGTCACCATCTGTCACCAGTAGCACTCAATTTGTTTGTAGAGGCGCATTTGGTTATTCCTACAGCTGATGGAAATTTAATTGTTTTGTATGAACACTATATTTTAAGTAAATGTTGAAATCAGGGGAATTTTATTGCCTCACTCTGACTTCAGTGATCTGTAGATCCGTTGTTAAATTATTTATGAGGCACTACTTAACCCTGTGCTACCAGTGGTTCCCAATGTCTTTCTTTCAGTTGCTCAACTTCTCGTGATTTGATCTACACACTATGCATCAGCTAATGCATTCTAATACAACCGCCCGACAACTCTCTCCCTCATTCTCTTCTATCAGCGAAGTAGACAGCCCAAATAAAAATTGACCAATGGTACCCCCTAGAGGGGATTTACTCTCATGATGAACATTACTAATTGCTTGTGATCTCTTCTCAGACTGCTATGGCTGGTTCCACACCTGCAGAATCCAGATTAACATTGAAAAACTAACACTTCCAAATGCTTGCCAGAGTCTCTAGATATCTTCACTGCAAGATGAAGACAACCTTTAGGTTAAAGGGCAACCTCTGACTTCAATACATGGATTAAGATTTTGCCAATTACTTATTTAATCTAAATTCTACCACTGAATTTCAGGGACAAGTAGGAGGCCAAACAGGTTAGTTGATGTGTAAAATGTTTGACCTCCCTTTGTGGAATGCCCGTGAGGAATTGAGTAACTTATCACTTGTTGCAGATAATTTAATTTGTTTTTCATTGTATTGTCATTTACTAATTTCAGTTGGTTCAATATGCGATGGGCAAGAAACCTGGTGGAGACCGTAGTGCCATGAATACAAAAAAGGTATGACTGACTTAACTACAGTACCACAGAGACCGCTCATAAATTTAACTGAAAACATTTTTCACAATGTTTTAAATGTTTGAATTGCTTGGTGATTGTGATGTTCTATAGTGTAAGTGACTTGTATGTGTACCCTGTAACAATGCACTGTAAATACACATTTCTGACAGTAATTAATACCCTGTAACAATGCACTGTAAATACACATTTCTGACTAATTAAAACTATCATTAACTGAAAGTGAGTTTTTTTTGTACAATACATTACAAATGGGAGTTTTCTAAATGTTTATTTGAAATAGTTGCTTATATATTTCTCCTGCAAAAACGTTTTAAACTGTTAGCTGGACATAAAAAATAGAACTGTAAGTAAACCTCAATGTAACAAAATTCATTGCAACACCCAACACTGTAGGTTAAGACCTTATGTTTACCTGGAATGTAATTTTGACCGTGGATTAATAAAATGTCAATGTATTCTAGTCTTGTAGGACACAACTGCAATTGCTGATTATGGGCGGTCGACCTAAACTGACAGACCTGTCCAGGTCAAAGGAGGCTCATGGATCTTGGGGAGAAGATGGGCGAGGCCTGAGCTCTTAATCAAGGTATTAATGTAATGCTTGTCATGCAGGCTGTGTAATGGCTCTGATAAAATGTCTTTCTAACTGTAAAGAATGCCTGAGGGTTGTGGCCTGTCCTGACGAACAATTTGGATCCTTAATCTGCTGTTTAACTATTTGCTGTTGGCCATTGTGTTGGTATTGCTAAATAACGTTAGCCTGTGTGTGCAAGAAGATGCCATCTTGTCAGTGTTTCAAAGATTTTTCAGACAGAGTTGTGATTCCACGCAGGACTGTCCAGAGAAAACAGGCTCCTGCCTTGATCGCCAGAAGTGGTCAAGCAGTTTCAGCCTCTTGTGAGAGTGGAAATTACCAGCAGTCTTGAGTGATTTGAGTGAACGGTAAGACTTTATTTTTATTTCCCCCCCCAGTGGTTTTTGATATGTGATTGTAGCAGGTTGACTGGTCGCAGGTGGTTTCAATCACTTCACTCTCTGGACCAATCAGGAAGTAACTGCATGCTATATAGGCGGGGGTTTGACATCTTGACCCCGTTACTTTGTTGCTGGAGGTACATTTCCGCTCTGGGTCCTCTCGCGTTCGTGCCGCAGTCACGGTTGTGCAATGGGTAATGTAGTGTGCTTAAGTGTTTGTTACCTAAAGGCCTTGGTTGTGTTGGGATGGCCATTACAGCGTGTATTGTCTTTTGCAGTGTCTCTCTGTTACAAACCCGATCTTTCCTTTAATGGAATCGGGTTGAGTGTTGCTGCTGGTAGGTTGGACAAATCTTTCTCCTCTGTGAATATTTTAATGAATGAGTGGTTAAGTAATCTGCCGTTTTATTGTAGGCTCTGTGTAGCTGTACGATCGGCACTGCAGGTGTATTGGTGCGAAGCTCCCTGACGGGTATGTATGTATATCAGTGGCATCGCGTGTATGTTCTTAAATCATAAACTGTCATTGAATTTGGTTTGTTTGTGCACGCCAGGGTTGTAAAATTGCTTCACGTGCGCTGGTATCTGCACCAGCCCCTCCCTTCCCTGCCACGGTGCTGTTTTGTCGCCGCTGACTTTGGGTTTAAACTACGTTCAACGGGTTGCAGCTACACAACTGTAAATTCCTCCAGGCGTTGAGCGCCTCACAGCGCCCGGATCTGTTGCTTAAAGTGACAGGGCTGTCTGATTGCAACCCGGTTGATAGTTTGCCTTTTTTTGGTTTGCCCGTGCTTGCTACTATGTGTATGGAGATTGGGGTTTATTTGTTAAATTATGATTTTAAGTGATGTTGGTTTATATTTCTAAGTTTCGATAAGAAGACTAATTTTGGTTGGAATTCTATTATCTGTTAATTTTGGTTATTTTAGTTGGTAGGCTCTAGTGGTGCCGAAGGTGGTGGTGTGTCTCTCTCCAGTGTGCTGTGTTTTCCCCGTTTGGTTTAATTTGAGTCGTTTGCTGCAGTGTGATTGGGGTGATCCTTCTCTGAGACCCCATTGACCCTGTCCCTCCACCGGTAAGACCTCAGCACTTACTTTCCCTATTTAGTAGGTCTGGTATTTTAAATGGTATTTTATATTTGTTTTAGTAATTGTATTAAATAAAATCATTGTTGTAACGGAACTACGTCTCTGGCTTCATGCATGAATCAAATCTGTGTGCTTTAGTAAAATACTATTCTCGGGGTGAAATTCCCCGGGTGGCGTTGCCAGTGTCATCAGTGTTGAGCGGGCCAAAAAGGCACTCCACACCAAAAGAGTTCCACTCGCCACATAATGCTTGTCATGCAGGCTGTGTGACAGGTCTAATAACATGTTCTGTTTTTCCTAACTGTCAAGAGCCTGACTGGTGCATAATGTATTAAATGAATCTGCTTCTAATATGTTGTATGTCCTGAAATATGCCGCCCTCTTTAGCTGCTTCATTTAATATTTGCAATTTCCCTGTATGTGCAAAAAGCTGCCATCATTGTTCGGGAAAAATTCCGGTTGCGTTAGGTAAAGTAGTTTTAGAAGTGGCCCAGCAACTTCAGTATGCTGTGAAAATTGCCAGCTGACTTATGGATTTGAGTGAGAGGTAAGACCTTTTCTCCAGTACTGATTTTGTTATGTCATGCAGGCTGTGTGACGGGTCTAATACTGTTTAGAAGGCCTGACTGTTTTGCTTATGCATCTGCTTATAAATATGTACTGAACTACGTGTGTGTGTGTGTGTGTGTGTGTGTGTAACTATTTCTGGTTGGCTAAAGTACTGTTGTACTACTACGCAGAAAAATTCAGAACACAATTGGCTCCTGCCTCAAGTCTTCCAAAAAGTGGTCAAGCAGCTTTACCCCTCCTGTGAAATTCTCCTGCCAACTTAGCGATTCGAGTAACAGGTGAGCTTTTTTCCCCAGTATTGGTTATGCAGGCTGTGTGACAGGTCTAGAAAATGTTGTTTAAAATTGACTGTTGCAGAATGTTGCTTTGCTTATCTTGGTTTGTATGTCCTTAACTATTTTCCACTGGCCAATATTTTAGGACTGTTTGGATTGCTAAATGTAAACCTGTAGGTGCAAGATGTCTTGTCAGACTTTTCGGGATGATTTGAGTAATGTTCTCTTTCTTTAGGGAAAGTGGAAGCCAACTGGTTCAAGACTTTCCTGACATAATGGACAGCTGACAGGATTTGGCGGAAGGCAAGACCAGGGGTTGCGCTAAGTGTTAGGGGTTGCGCTAAGTGTTAGGGGTTGCGCTAAGTGTTAGGGGTTGCGCTAAGTGTTAGGGGTTGCGCTAAGTGTTAGGGGTTGCGCTAAGTGTTAGGGGTTGCGCTAAGTGTTAGGGGTTGCGCTAAGTGTTAGGGGTTGCGCTAAGTGTTAGGGGTTGCGCTAAGTGTTAGGGGTTGCGCTAAGTGTTAGGGGTTGCGCTAAGTGTTAGGGGTTGCGCTAAGTGTTAGGGGTTGCGCTAAGTGTTAGGGGTTGCGCTAAGTGTTAGGGGTTGCGCTAAGTGTTAGGGGTTGCGCTAAGTGTTAGGGGTTGCGCTAAGTGTTAGGGGTTGCGCTAAGTGTTAGGGGTTGCGCTAAGTGTTAGGGGTTGCGCTAAGTGTTAGGGGTTGCGCTAAG